CCAGAACCGGAGATATTCGGAAAAAATTTGCACTACTAACAAAAAGCGAACGAATATATGGATCCACCCAATAGATAAAAAAGAATTAAAAAATTGGAGTTGGTAGTAACACGTTTTATTTAATATAATTATATACAACAAAAACTTATGTGTAAGGTAGGTTAGTATGAGTCATTTTTATAACAATCCGCTGCAAAATGTACCAGTATATAATACTTTATAATTTATTATAATTTATTATAATATTATTCTCAACTTCTTAACTATGGAAAATAATAATAAATCAATTTTTTGAAATAAGTATAAGTATTTTTTTTAAACAATGTACTTATTAAATAAGGCCCACTTATGTGATTATTATTATAGCTATTATTATTTGTTTATTATATGTGACGTTTATGCCAAAAAATAATGATTTTCAATGTTGCTATCTTTTAAAAAGCCAAAATTGCATTCAAATTGATAAAAATTTTTGAAGATTAGAAAGTTAATTACAAACAAAATTAAAGATAATTGTAAAATTTGAGAGTAAAGTAAGTCTTAAGAAATTTCTTTTCTATGATTAATAATTATTTTAAAATTAATTTAGAAAGAAAATGTTTACTTTTTTTGTTATTTTTAATTTACTTTTGATTTGGATTTTATTATATTTATATGCATATAATAAGGCTCAATGTCAGAGTTTAATAAAAATTTTTTCATTTATTTACACATATTTTATATAAACAATATATTTTATTTTTGGGAGTGAATGAAATGAAGATTTGATTCTCACTTAGTTTATTTCAATATTCCCAAAAATAGAATTAAAAAAAAAATTAATAAATTAGGTGGGCCTTATTTGGTTCAAGTACTTTTACTATTATATACTTTCTCCTATTTCTACGCGAAGCGACTCTCATCCCATCTCCCCTCCTCCAAATAAGCGTACAACTTCTATAATTGTACTGTTACTTGTTATACAATAATTACAATTTAAGTTATACAGTTAAATACACACTTATATTGCCAACTTTTTTTGTTAATAACTTTTTAACGAAGAGCAATCGCCAAATAAAATCTGCTTGAGGTCACTCAGAGTCGTGACAACATATGTCAAAGTTATGATTATCGGAACTATTTTAATATTTACTGTTGTTGTCAATATTTATCGTTTAAATATTCTAAATATTATCTTTAGATTTTAAATATTTTAATTTGCATCAGATGCTAATCTTGTTTCACCATTATAAAAGTAATAAAATTGTAATGAGTCGTTATTTTTTTAAATAATGATAATTTACAAAATTTCAACACAAAATGTTAACACAGAACGTGAGTAAATCGTTTCCAACACAAATACATAATTTTGTTTACTTTTTGTACTTTTAAAAAGTACTTTCCAATCCTTAATAAAAGTAATTTATATTTGTGTTAAAATCGATGTTGAATTTTAACATAATTAAATTTTAACATACAAGTATTTAAATATTAATTAAAAATGTGTTATTTGAATATTTTACGTTAAATTAATATTCATTTCTTATTATCAAAACACAATTTATTAATGAATAAATTATATAAAAATATAAAATATTTTAAAATGAAAATTTTAATAAGATAAATAAATAAAATATGTTTTAATTTAACACATTAAAATGTTAATTTTACTAAAAAAAATATGCTTCCAAATTGTGTCAATGTTACATTTTACATAATATACATTACTATCTTACTTTAATTTCTTACACAATTTGCGTTACTATTAAATATATTTATCTATGTTAAATTAACATAAAAATTTGAGTGGCCGTTTGCGAAATCTGTTGAACTTAATATAAGTTTTCTCTAACTGTGTATTAATCGCGTTAGGCACTATAATAGATATGGGAATCTCTGGGGGGATCTCGTTTGTCTACAAATCGATTGCCTACAGTATCGTTTGCCTGCATCACGTTTGCCGACAGTTCGTTTGTACATAAAAATTATTGCCTACAGTTCGATTGCCTTCGACATGCACTTTTGCACACAAATAAAAATTTTAGAAACGGAATTATTTTTGTCTACATGTATTATTGCTTACAAGTATTATGGCTTACAGCTCTATTGTCTACATGCACTTTTGCGTACAAATATAAATTTTAGAAACAGAGTTACTTTTGCCTACATTATTATTAGGCAATAATATATGTAAAAGTAATTCTGTTTTTAAAATTTTTATTTATGTGCAAAAATGCATGTAGGCAATCGAGCTGTAGGCAATAATTTTTGTGTGCAAACGAATTGTCGGCAAAAGTAATGTAGGCAAATGTTACTGTAGACAGTAACATTTGTAGGCAAAAGCAACCATCTCGGAATCTCTTACAAGACGGCGGGGCATACGGGCGAGGGTGAACTTATTCTTATCCGCCTGGCATCTTCCCGGATTTAAGTGTTGCGCCATAAAATCCGTGCGATAAGTTCATTTCGAGAGCGGCATCGATTAAATGTGCCGATTATCAGGAGGTTTACGAAATTAGTTTACCGCAAACTCCGAAGCGGGTGTCAGGTAGCTGACGGCAACTTCCGCCGCTTCAAATACGTAGTAGTTTCTCCCTTCATTCCGCTTTTACGAGGGAAGCGATACTATCACGTACATTATCCTATCGCACGCAAAAGCGTCATTCCCATTGTTGTAACTATCACATATATAGTTCTTTTGAGACGCGACTTGTTGTTACATGGCGCGTGTCTTACCTAATAAAGTAGAAACACTACGGAAGTATGGAACTACAGTTCTGAGTTGGATCACTCTAGCGATCGCTCGAAAAGTTTTGTACTGCGCTTTGATTTTTGTTAATTCTTCGCATCAGATCTAGAGAAGCTGTCATTTTTTTTGTGATCGTTCAAGAATCGTTTTATTTCTACATTTATATAACATATATAGTATATGTATATATATATATATATAGGTATATATTTTTTATAAAAATTGGAAATTATAATAATTACTTTATACTTAAGGGAAAATTGGTACATTGAAATAAAGAATAAAATCCTAATTTTAATGTTTGTTATAAAATTGCTGTTAGTTATAATTTAATCATGTAAAAATTAATTCAGAATTGTTGATCCGGCTGTAAATACATCTGATCAGTATGCGTATTCCTTACATAGATAATTGAACGTGATGGTGAGATGCGCCCTTGGAACATATATAAATGGAAGAGCAATTGAGTTCTGAAACTAAAGTCAATGTCTATGTGAGAGAGAAAGCTATAAAGTCCCAATTGATTGTAATGCGCATACGCTACTCAGCTTATTTTCTTTTGTTTTTTACTTTATTATCAATGTGTGAGAAACCTTAAAACAATTGTATAGTTCACACAGACGACGATCTGCGCATGTAGAACATTTAGGATTTTCTAGCTTTTTCTCTCGCACAAATGTTGATTTCATACTCGATATATAGGCAATTCTCCTTTTATTTATACATACTGGTATGTTCTAAAAATGTACAGCTCGTGTTCGTCTTTTGTACGCAGCCCGTGATATGCTAACTGTTTCTTCTTATAATTTAAAAACTAAAAATTTATTCGCATCGCTCTAACATACTTTAATATACAATAGAAAATAAATGTCTTCTAATGATCTGGTTAGAGAACTTAAGTGTTCTTGTATAATTCTGTGTGGACTTATATACTACGTATGCAATTTTTTAAATTACGCACCGAAATGATTTTTCTTAAAACGCAAACTCTACTGAACTACCGCACAATTAATTTTACAAGTTAAATTGACTAGCAATTTAACAATTCGATGCACTTATGCATCTTAGAATAATCTTAATAATGCTGAAATGATATTAAAACCTGTAAATAATTAATTCTTATTGCGAAATAAATCTATATAAAATATTACACGGAATGCTAGAGATTCGTGTTCGATTCCCAATAATATTTTTTATTTATGGAAATATTAAAACGCTTATGGATAAGAGACAAAACATTTTTCAAAATTTATATGAATAAAATATGTTAGAACAAAATTTTTTCTTATCCTTTAAAAACTTTCTCCGATAAAGTCAATTTTAAAGTATGTCTCTTATTTAAGATACGTTTATGTTTTACCTTATTTTTGTCTAAATAATTTAAAATTATCTAAGTGGGACATTGTAAATGTATAGAAATGTTGTGTTATTAATTATGAGTATCCTATTTCCTCGAACTTAAAATTTACGTATCCGTAGTAACACTGTATCACTGAATGTATCGATATTATCTTAGTGTTATTAAGAATACGAAATAATCACAACTTTACAATCCGGCAGATGGTAGCGTATCTTTTCGTTACACACTGTTTCTCAGAGATTAGTGAAATGAAACGAGCAATATTGCTGATTCTCAAAAATATATGGAGCCGTTCTTGATTAAGATGGAATCACACGATGCTCGATTTCTTAAACGATAAAGATGCACACATGCATGCTGCTGTGTTTGATGTATACAGTCTGACGTTTGACAAATAGCTATGAAATTAGCAATTATTTCTTTTGATTGGTGCATGCAAGGAAATAAGCTATGAAGTAATCCATAATATAATATAATAATCATAAATATAAAAATCATATATATATATATATATATGCAGCGCTCAATGTATAAACGAATTCTAGCACACAGGAAGCATGACTGTATACATGCTATTATTCAAGAAATCAAGCATCGTATAATTCCATCTTTAACATGTGTATGTAATATCACTGATATGTATAGCAATGTTATAAAACGACGCAAAGTTAAGAGCATTATCATCGTTAAAATGTGTGACCTGCATCATAGAATCGTGCCAATTGCATGTACAGCGCGATGCGCATAACTTCGACGATGAAACGAATACAAATAGAATGATAGCGATAATACCGCTTCGTAGCCATGCCTTGCAATCGATACCTTCATGATTTAATGAATGTCGGTGGTATACCGGTAACGGGTGTTTTACGATAATATTATACAGTTCGTACCGTTGTGGTCCCACGCTGTGCCATTGTCTGAATCGGTGGAACTAGACTTCCTTACCTGGCTGTTGCGATGAGCATTACTCTTGCCTAAACAATACACGTCGTTCGGCTAGATATTAATTGCGGATTGCCTCGCGGTTAGCACCGAGAAAATATCCGGTTGCGCACAATGGACCGTAACTTTGGACACGAATCATCCAATTTCGGAAATGTATTTTTAACTTTGCGTACTTTCTGAACAGTTTCGCACAGTTTCTATAATAGTGGAAATGCGAGAACTCTCTTAGTATCGACGACATATCCGCTCACTCTTGAAGAGCGCATAGAAATACCGTCGTCAGTTGTACATGTACTGATATTTTACACTTCCATTGTTTATTTATTAATTATTTATGAATATTTATTTATAAATATTTAAAGAAAGAAAATGGATGATAGCTGTCGACTTTATATATTTATTGAATTAACGATACTCGGTTAGTTTAATTTTTGATCTGAGAGTCAAGTCATGTGTGCAAGAAAGTCACTCTCAGGTTAAAACAATAACAAGATTTATTGATTTTGCGGCGATCTAATCCAATGGTATCTATACAGGATTCTCTTATCAGGCGGATACTGGCTTCCCTCGACAAGTAAGAAGATTATCTTTGGAGCTTTCCGGAGGAAAGCTCTCGTTAGGTAAGATGCGATATCATGGTAATTATAGAAGCGTAGCTTCAATAAAAGCCATATGAGCATGTCGATGTGGATACTAACTTTTTGCTCTTCTCATAGTAGGTTTTATACGTAATGGAATTATAATTGCCATTGCTTATCGCAATATCATAATTATTATCGCTTTCTCATTATTCATAATTATGACAATGCATAATTAGCGGTGCGATGTAATTTTCATTTGCTTTTAAAACGCTTAAAAAGTCGCAGGTGCAGAAATATGGTAAGGCTAAAAATTATTATGTCGAGGTTCTCGAAAGTAACTCTTAAGGCTGAATTCATCCCATTCGTGATTTCGGCAGGAATAAAAATATCACGAAACTCAGGAGAACAGGTGCAATTTTTCGTCTGGCGTTCAAGGCAAGCCGGTCGCCACCTGTTTCAATACGATCCCTACTCGAAGAGCCCTTGAAAAATATATTCATTCTCAGCTATGGCTTTATAAGATTGAACATTATCTCATCAACTGGGTCAGTTTTATCTAAGTAATCTTAGAAATGGAAAATATTATTACAGTTACTACACGAGAGTGCAAAATATTACTATCCGTTTGTCTTAAAAATGGAAAGAAATTATTTAATCCGAAAATAATGTTCTGATCATTGACTGGAAATTGAAACTATAGATAATTTAATATATTTGATAGATATATTCGATCAAAATAATCTTTTTTTTAATTTTGGCTAAAATCATAATCGAAAACCGAAATCATTCATGGAAATCTTAAAACAACCATATGTATAAAGACGTGCATATACCTATATGTATACCATATATTTTTTTCCATAAATATCATAATTTTATATTGAAACAATAATTATACATGTATTATCACTATCCTAATATTACAATTCCTATATTATTACAATCCTGTACCCTGATAGGAAAAAAATGGTTGCAATTACTTAATATATAATAATTATTATTTTTGAGATAACTATATGTATATTTATAGTTGTTTTAGTCATGCAAATATAGTTAACTGTGCTTTTAATAATAGTTACACTTACTGCTTAAAAACCTTTAATTTTTTTCTTAATATATATTTTATTATTACCACATAAACAGCAAGTAAATTTAAGAAAATAGTTATATTTACTATAATTGCAGTGGTATTTAGCGGATAAAAATGGTTACTTTATTTACTATTTATATCTTAATATTTTACTACATTAATATTTAAAATCATAGTTTATAGTATAATACTTTTATATTTAAAAGAAATATTATGGTTATTATTACGAACATTATAGTAGCAATAATCATAAAAATGAAACTCAGAACCATAATTATTTTACCATGCAATTATAGTCACTTATACACTATCTGTAGCAATCATATTATCTCAATAATAACAAAATTTCAAAACTGAAATGAAATGACTTTTTAAACAAGTCTTTAGAAAGATCTACAGAAAATAAATTTTTACATAAAATAAATTTTAAATAATAATAAATGCTTCTTACAACTTAATTTCGGCTACGTCGCTGAAACTCCCTTTCAATTTTATTGGCCAAAACCGAAACTTCAATTTTTAGCCGAAACTGGCCGTAACCGAAACCGAAATCAAATTTTTAATCGGATTTTATCTGACAGTCTGTCTGTGCCTGTATAACATGTGCGATATAATTTCTGCCGTGAGAGCTGAATATATATCTTACGCAATAGTTATCCTATCAGAGTAACATGATATATCGATAGCTAAATTTAATTACGCTAAAATGAAATATGAGAAATATATCTGAAATAATATTGAAGGTATTAAACCTAGGATTCTATTTAATTTCTCTTCAAGCAAGTAACCCGAGACATTCTGTACCTGATTATTTTACAGGTAGGGAAGGAAATTGAATGAGAATAAGTAAGATAATATTTCTCCTGAGATACAGCTATTCATTTGACTTGATTGTAATCCTTTTTGTTAAGCTCTCTTTTTGCGAATCTCTTATCATATTTTAAATTTCCGTATATGGTACAATTTTTCGCATTAGATACATGGGGATATCGTCGAAAATCGAGAACAGCAGTTCTGTGATGATTTGAATAACAAAATATGATACATTTCCATATCTTTTTTATCATGTTGCAGACGATCGTCTCATTACTTTTTTTAATTAATTGAATATGTGTGTATAAAATGATCCGTTTAACTCGTTCAGAGATAATCTTCACTGCTGCAAAGTCTTCAAAGTCGCTTGCGCTTGATTTACAGCTTCCTCCTGCACGGACCGTGCACCAGCAGCAACGGCAGCCGCAGCAGCAGCAGCAGCAGCCGCAGCAGCAGCAGCAGCAGCAGCAGCAGCAGTAGCGTCGGCAGTACCAACAGCAATTCAGAGCACAGTGAATTGTGCTGAGCTCATGCTGGCAAGACGACGTACGAGTGATTTGCATGCGAGCTCACAACCCGTGGGAGGAACGGGCATAATTTGGCAGGTAGGTAAGCCATTCGCTCGATCGGTGTGTCGCTTGTGATGTTTGGCCAACGGCAATTAACGGACCCCGTACAACCAGTGTCTCTCGAATCGTGCTGGCGAACAACGCCAGTCGAGTGAAGTTGCTTCGATGAGAGAGCGACCAGGTGCGCTCTTAGGGAATTACCATGTACGTGCTGTTCCAAAGATTTGTGCGATACGGATGTGGAGCATGATTCAATTATGTATATACCTATATATGTATTATATATGTAATATATTTTATATATTTTATATATATATATATGTATAATATTTAACTTAATTGACAATTTCATTGTAAAATTCAATGAGCATAATTAGTAAAAAGTTTCAAGTAAAAGATTTAAAATTCAATTTGAGTTTTAATTATGACGACACTATGATATAGAAAATTGAGGAGTTAATTAAAAGTACTAAATTGTATAAATAAAAGTACTTCATTTTCGAGAAGTGGCTGTTAAATTTTAATTTAATTTCACAAACGAATAAAGCTCATTTGTGAGATTTACAGTTGCGTAGAGCTACGTGCGAACGACACCGCGACGGAGCGTTTGTGACAAAGCATGTAGCTTTGTGGAAATGCAATAGTTTCCGGCAGAATTTCATCAAATACTGAATAAATACATTTCCTCGACCGCAAAATGTATAGCTTGTCGATGGCGAAAATCAAAATTAATTAAAGCTCTTAATTAATTTAATGCATGGCAAACGAATGGTGCATTTTCATAATTTGTTGCTCATCAAATGTGCCCCAGCGCTACATATCGTCCAATTTGTGCAGCATCATTAGTATGCTTATTCTATATCATACAAATAACATATCGATAATATTACGTCCCAAACAATAATACCTCACGACAAATATAGAGAACTGCATTACTTCCGATATACCCTGTCGCGCATTTAATCACGAATATATGTGACAAATGTTGATTATTTAACACAATCTCGATAACGATCTAAGAGTCGATACATGTGATAATACATGTAAAAATATGTACAGAAAAAATAATTTTGCTCAAATATGAAAATTTAGCTTATATAAATATAGATCTGAAAATAATTTTGTTGAACCTTTAAAATACGGAGATCATTTGATAAGTTTAGAAAATTTTGAAAATTGAAATGGTGTTATAGTAGTATTCGACGGTGACGCCTAGAAAGAACTCCGCACAAAATCATAATATTTTGGCTTTCGGTGAAATTGGCTGAAATTTTAGTATGTTATAGTTCTTGACTCACTGATCAAAAGTGTTCATAGGCACAAAGCCTGAAAATGCTAGTTTTTTTTATTGTTGCCATTTAAAGTTTTATTTTATTTATTAAAATCAGATTTCTATAATAAATCATGAGATTTTAAATAACAATATGCCAACTACTCTCACCACCAACCCTCACTTCCAACCCTATCTCTATTTCCACATACATATGTTCGCGCGCGTTTATTATGAAAAAGCTGCATAAAAATCGAAGTTTCGCATGTGTGCATTTGTGTATGCAGCAATGGTACATTTATGATTTTAGTTTTTCGCCCGTTCTCAGAATTACCCGGAATGACCGACGTGGACGTAACGGGCGTTTCATTCCTTTAGGGTGTTTGATTTTCGTAAGTCCCCTTTCCTCTCATGTTTGGAGTGCTTGATATTTTTTTTGTATATGAAGTTTTACACGCAAAAAAAACATTTGGGTCGTGATAATCAAGCACTTCGCACATGAAAGGTAAATGGACTTACGCATTTTAAATAATATGCATGAGAGGAGTCGTAAAATCTAGCAAAATCTAAATACATAATAAAAATGCGTGCGCTGGTATACGTGTGTAGGAATGGGGATGGGGTTAGGAATGAGGGTGGTGAGAATGGATGGCATATTATTATCTAAAATGATTTATTACAGAAACTTGCTTTCGCAAGGCAATAATAAAATAAAACTTTAAACGGCTATAACAAAAAAACTAGTCATTTTCAAGCTTTATGAACACTTTTGATCAGAGCCAAGAACTATAACATACTAAAATTTCAGCCAATTTCACCGAAGGCTAAAATTCTATGATATTGTCCTTTCCGCTCTTCAAATTCCTCCAGGCCAAATTTTAGCTAGAAATGACGCATTGTTCACGTTTGGTAATACTTTGAAACGAGCGATTTAGCAGAAAAGTTATCACACAAATAGAAAAAAAATCGAATTCTATAGATTAGCACGAATTGGGCTTTGAATTGATTCCTTACCCATCCAGTCTGTTCTCCAGATTTGGCTCCGTGTGACTTCTTCCTGTTCCCAAATTTGGACCGAATTTATGTAAATTGCACAGAATTTGTTTTTTTTTCATTTTTATGGCAACTGCTAAACTGTTCGCTTCAAACGAGTATCAAATATAAACAATGCATCATTTCTGGCTGACATTTGGCTTGGAAGGATTTGAAGAGTACAACTTTTCAGATGTCACATTATCAAATAAATTGTGTCATCTTTATGTCTCATGGAAATTTATTAAACTTATCAAACGACCTTCATAATTATGTATGGACGCTCAACTTGATTGCTAGAATAAATATCAAAACTTTTTGCAGTATTGCTCATTATTTTTTGTTTGGGTTTCCTATATAATTATTTTGATATCTTTGATGCTTATCCAATAAAATTATTTTTAGCTTTACATATACCTAAATATTTTAGATACTTTAGTAAAATTTTTCTTGTGTACATGGTGTGCGCGAAATTCATTTCTTCTTTTTTTTTCTTATATTGATAATTAGAGAAGTGTTAAATGTCCAGAAACTATCTGTTCGATAATTGATCTGATAATAATTATATTAGAGAGTTTGTAATTGAATTCTTTATAATCAGCTCGTGCATATCCGCATTTATAAACGCAATATTTTTACAATCATGATATGCGTTTATACAAATACGCGCATTAACGTCATCGAGAAACTTAACAG